AAAAGGTAAATCCACTGTCTCCAATAATAAAAAGAAGCCTAGTGTACTGGTGTGAATGGTTGAATCCTATGATATCTAACATGAGCAGCTATTTGCTTGTACACTGGCATCTTATTGCCTGAACGTTTAGAAATTATAAAAGAAAATTAAGTAATGTGTGTGCTCGTCTTCCGTTATTATTTAAGGTATAAAGAACAAAGGAGAGGAAGAAGACTTGTTAAGAAAAATTCATGTATGCACATGCGTCATATTTACATATTTAAGGAAGCAGTCCTTGGTTTAACTTTTGGATATTATGTAAGGAACAAATTTGAACTGGACTAGCCTTACGCAGACCCATGCAGGTAGCATATATGTACCTTAGTATCAGCTTGGGAAGGGATTTCGAACTCTATGAATGGCAGGGAAAATGCCATCAAATTACTTGTATAGATATAGTAAATATGGTTGCATACATTATACATATTTTGAAGAATTAATCTTTAACTCTCTCTTTATGGTGAATCAACATGGCTTAGAAGAACGATTCCACAAAGCAAATAAGGCTTTTTGAATAATGATAAAATACTTGCACAATCAAATGAAGAAACCAAAGTACTAGTAGTGACTGAGCCCGTGCTAACCTGTAGCATCAATACCTCCTTCCTTCCATGCATCACCACTCATGTAGTATACATGGCTACATGTGTATCCCGACAGTCAACAATTCAGAAGTTAGTTTTTAATGGCATAAACTTCAAATACATTATTGTGTAGAAATAGTCTCCTATGTATCTTCCGTGCAAAATAAATAAATCAAATAGGTATTGAACATACAAAAATATATATAGTAAACAATTCATGAAAAATGTCTCTCCACATTAAAATGTTTGTTAACAATAAAACCGAGTCGGAAAAAATGATAAATTGCATGCAGCTGTTGAATGATCGCTAGATAATTTTTTTAGTTGCCTCAAATTTATAGAACAGTGAGAAATCTATTGCACAGCTAAAGGTACAGGGTAAAATTTTCACTTATTGCACACCTATTATATCCATAATGAGTGATTACGCACAAATATGAAATTTTCTATTTGATAGTTTAGTACATCCAATATATAGGCAATAACATTAAGTATTAGGCAGACTAATAAAACCCCAGAGCTAAGTGAAAAGTTTTCCAAGTAGTTATTTAGAAATATTTGTGGAATGTTAATTTTAGCCCCTTAATTAATAAGTTACTGAATTGAAGGATCGTTTATTACATAAGGTAATAAATGTTGTGATGAAATATTTATGACAGTTCTTTTAGGCTTAAGTGAGATGCCCCCACATAAGGTCCTTCTTGGGAGTTTTGCAGTACCGGTAAGGGTTTTTTAAAGTACCGATGCCCCATAGTGAAATTTTCAACTTATAATTTCTTTGATGAAAATAAATTGAAATTTTTTAATTCATAAGTGATATTTTACTTATGAGTAATTTTTTCCATATAAGTTAATTTTTTAACTTAAAAAGTGAAAGTTTTACTTATAATTAAGATTTAAGTTATAAGTAAATTTTACAGTTATAAGTAATTTTTTACACATGAGTGAATTTTGTTTACTTATAAATAATCTTTTATATTTTATAAGTGAATTTTTTTACTTATTAGTACTTTTTACTTTATAAGCAATTTTACACGAGTGAATCTTTATCTTATAATTTTTTATTTTTTTTATTTTTTTATATATCAGTAAATTGTTTAGTTGTAAAGTAATTTTTTTGCTTATAAATAATTTTTTTATTTACTGTATTTTTATTTACTAGTTAGTTTTAACCAAAACATGCAGGTTGGAAATAATTGTTTTTAGAGAGTAAAATTTCAAGAACTGCCAAAAAGTACTAATTTGGTGGGTTGAGAAATACGTCACAAATTACACAAGACTGGTTCACTACAATAAAAAAACTAACAAGCAATGGTTTTCCCTACCTCTCATAACGGTGACATCAAAAAAGGCCAAAATCAGTGAAAAAAAACTCCCAAGCAGACCCTAAAAGAAAGAGATTTAAAACTATTATCAATAAGAAATTATCTTACTTTTCCTAATAATTGGCATACCGTGCTATACCTAAGGCTAGCCACCATAAGGGTCATGCTGCAGTGTCTAAGCATGCAAGGGCTGTATTGGATAATGCAGATGCTCGCTTGAACTTAGCATTGTCACGAAGATATTAGGAGCCTTAAGTTTTCCTAATGAAAACTACAATGACAGCAACATGGCGAGAAGTGAAGGGTCGTGTACTCTTGAAATGAAGGCAAAGTGACCTGCCATGCACATTTGAACATATGATGCCCACATGGCAAGTCAAAACCGCCCAATTGGGTCGCTTAATGGCAGGAAATGATGACTGAACACCACCAATTACATAGCCACTTGCACACCAAAGAGAATGTGATTCTTAGCAGATAGGTGCAATCTTAATCATCAGCTATCCAAAACAAGTATGATCTAACAACTTTGATCAATTCATGACAAAAAAAAAAGTAGAATTTCAAAAGGGACACAAAAGGGCCTGTATATAGTCATTTCCCTTGTAATTTTAGAATCCAAAACATAACTTTGGGGGGGGGGGGAATCTCCCTAGAAATTGTCTATAATCGTATAAATTTTAGGGTTCGAGTCAATTCCGATTGAAAAGAGTATAGTCAAATGTTGGTTTGCCACTCAAAGTTATCAAAGTGTAGCTTGTGTTTGTGTTTAATATTGTATATAGGACACAAACATCGGTTCCATCCTTTCTTTCTTTTTATTTCATTTTTTTTTCCTTGTTTCAAAACTGTTTATTTTCCAATAAAACTTGCATCCATTGGAGCTTTTCAAGTTTCAACAATAAAATAAACCAAATGCTCCTATCCCATCATTTAAATTCCTTCATACAGTTGAAGAATGCACTATCAGGTTAATTATATATGGGCGTGCAAATCAATATCTAAAGCAAAAATCCTGTGGCAACTTGTAGAATCAAAAACCGGGGAAAGAATATATCCTGCAAGTTTTACACTGATAAATAACTGAGATTCGTTCAAATATACTCATCAAAAGGAAGGTCCATGGAAATTCGAACCCATGCATTTGCATCATCAAAATTAATTATAATCATTTCCCATTTCAAATGATGTGTTGAATTCCAGTTTTTGGTTCGACTGTGATCATTTCAGCAAATCACCATACTTCAATTCAAAACTTCGATGCATTCGTCCAACAATTCATGTAAATCAAACAAACAGAACAAAAGGAATTTAAAAAACCAAGAAATGCATTGCCCATCAAACAAAATCAACAAATTCCCAAGCAAACTTCAACACAACAGATCGAAAATTGTGAAAATGGCAAAAGAGAAAGTCAAATACCATCCAATGAGGTAGCCAAAGGCCGAGAAGAACGTGATGGTCCCACAATACTTCCGGCACAGGACCATCGAGGCGTAGCCCAAGAACATAGGCACCAGAAAATGAAGATTTGACGAAAAGCCAAATGACAAATACGACAGTACAGCCCCCGTCATGGCGGCGTAAAGATGGCGTGCCACCGGTCCCCCTGGTACAAGCCGGTGGACAAAACTAACCGGGATGGTGGCAGCGAAGCAAAGCAAGAACCGGAACACCGGCACTGAAATCCCGATCGCCGACGCCACGGATTCCATCTCCGGCAGCTCCATATTCGATTGAAATTGTAAATTATGTCACAGTATTGAGTCTGGTCTGTGGTTCAACTGCAACTCTTGTGGCTCAACAACGGAGACAATGATATTCGAGGCGGAAAGAACCAGGAAAATACAAAATCTCTGCGGAGAAATCGAAATTCAAAAATAACTAAGGCAGGTAGCAAAATTGTTGAATAATGATATTTATCGTTATAACGCTGAAACATCAAATTTCAGATCGAATAATGGGATAGGACAATTTTCTTGAGAGGGGAGATTGAACTGTCATGTCCCATTATTCCACGTCAATTGCAATTTCATCCGTATTCTTTAAATTGTTTGCCCGTGGGTCCTTTTTTCATGGGAAGTAAAAATTGGGAAAATTGCCCCTTATAATTCTCAATCTAGACCCTATTTGATGGCTTTTAAATTAAAACATTTTTTATACACTTATTTTCAATCACACGTTCATACATTAAAATATTCTAATTATAAACACAAAACTTTTCTCTACTTTTTTATTATACATTCTTTAAAATTCACTATTCAAAACAGTGTTTTCGATAAATAATGACCATCAGACAAGGGCTATATTCAAAACAACACTTAGTAGTTCCTGCCACTTAAATCAAATCAAAATTCGAGGTTCCATGGTAATGGCGCTGAAAGAGAATGATCTTGCATATTGACATTTTATACAAAATATTCATAACTATTTCGCGATAACCAAACATAATAAAGCCCTCATTTGGTATCCATTAAAATCAAATTTTGATAATAAAAAAAAAGTATTTTAAATAGTGATTTTTTAAAACAATGTGTAATTAAAAAAATGGGATTTAATTTATATATAATTTTATTTTATTGAAAATTGTGTGATTGAAAGGAAACAAATCATGTATTCTTCATAAAATGGAGGCAAAACGTGGCAAACTGTAAAGCGTCAATTAGGAATTATTCTTCACCCACTCTGTATAACAACTTAGAGGGTGTTTGATAGATATTTTTATGTAAAAATGCATTTTCGAATAGTAATTGATGGGAAATGTGTGGTTGAAAAATAAGGAAAAATTTTTTATTTACGTGTAATATTATTTTAATAAAGAATGTGTGGTTGAGAAGAAGAGAAAAAAAAATGCATTTTAAAAAAAAAATGGGTACCAAACAGGCTTTTAATCTTTATCAAAACATTTGGGACCAAACGTGACCCACCAAATCAACGAGTGACCCAATGACCAATGCTTGGGCAAGTCAATGTCCCGACGAGTCTAATAATTATCTATGATAGAATCTAATAACTATGGTCGACGACATAACAAGATTGATGATTCAAAGAGTGTGAAGTAAACTAGTTCTTCAGTAAAAAAGATCCTCAAAACAGTGGGCAAGTTCTTATCTTGCATAAACAATCCAATTCAAACTGAAAAATCCAAAATCAACATAATCCTAGCAAAATATTAAATCGTAATATGATGTACTGAATAACATAACGATCAAGGTGTGATCACAGATTTTAATCAAAAAGACCGAAACCCATGTCATCGTCAGACTCCTCGGCTGGTTCTTCTTTCTCCTCCTCAGCATCTGGAGCCGGAGCACCACCAGAATCAGCAGATGTAACTGGAGCAGCAGCAACTGCAAACCTACTGGGATCCTGAAGTAAAAAGTTTACACAATGATGTAAATTTAAATGGACTTCAAGATACAGCAAGCATGTAGAAAATAATGAACGAAGGCGACTACATACCGCAAGATACTCCTTAACTTTATCAGCCAGGGGGAAGGAGTAATCGGTTTCAACAGCAATGGCCAAAATGTTCTTGTAAGCATTAATGAACATATGTGGTGCAGCTGCTAGGGTCGGGTATGAGATGGCGAGGGACAGGGAAGTAACCATGGAAACACCAACTGCAAACTTTTCGATGAGATCATCTTCTGTCAGATCGAGCACTTCAGGGCTGAAAACAGATCCGTTGTCATAAACGGAGATGACGACTAGACCATAAGAGAATGGCCTGATTCCAAGTTTTGCAAGCAGAGCAGCTTCAGATGAACCCACTTTGTCACCCTTCTTGATAAGCTCAACAGGGGTGATAATTTCAACCGTTCCCTTGTTAATCTTGGTGGGAATGTTGAGAACCTGGAAGCAACAGATGTGAGCAAATTCCTTACAGAAGTGATGCAACACGACTAAATTAATTTATATAAACCTGGAAGAAGGAAGTCTGCGATGGATCAAGGCCAGTATTTCCAGGTGGGACAACAACATCGACTGGTGCCACCAAACCAACACGAGCAGGTGCTCCAACCTATAAAGCTTAAGGCTTTTAGCATAAAAAAGGTCACACAAGGCATATACAGGCGCAGTTCATTATTTCATCTTCATGTGATGACTGTCTTTCGCAATTTTAGCCCTTTTACGCTTCCCAACTAAAATACAAAATCACAATCTTGACTTTTTTTCCTTTTTTTTAAGCACAAACTTGACTTTGAATAAAAGGTAGTGCAAAATTCGTTTCACCTTGTACTTTGCAACCTCCTCGCTAACTTCCTTCAAGTCACCCTTGGTGAAGATCAACCCAACATTTCCCTATTGAAAGAAGGCAACTAATTCAAGTCAAAAGCTTATCATGTTTCACAAAATGATGCAACAGGTTTTGCAAATTCAATGAAAATATATTGAAAATGTTACTAAAACTATTGTTCGTACTTTAATTATCTACATTTAGATTCATTATCAAGTACCGGTACATAAAATAAACATAATATAGTAGAAAACTAAACTGTTTAATAAAATTTCCATTTTATACAGCTATCTGATGTAATCTATATTAAATCACAAAAAAGGGGGGGGAACTAGCAAACCAATCCTTTTAGAAGCAAACTAAAGCAGAAGATGATTACGGATAAATTTTATTGTCGCCATCAGTAATAAAATAAAAATTCCATTTTCTACAACTATACGATATAAGTCATATAAAATTCCAGGAAAACTGAAAGTAAAAATCAAGAAACAGAACTATATACTTAAATACGTACGACGAGTAGGGGGATGAGGTTAAGAATGGCCGTGTTTCCAGTCTTCTCAGCGTGAATCCTTACACTCCTTTTCATCATGGTGTTCTTACCCATAAGCACTACAGAATCACCCCTCAAACCCTTCCTGATGTTCTGCAGCTGGTTCGATCCCACATTGTCGGCCGCCACAACCAGAACCTGCGTGTACTCATCAAGAAGCTGGCAGAGCTTCTGGTCGTATGCAATCTTTTTCTCAGCCTTAGACACCTTAATCGCCATTGATACAAAAAAGATTAAATTGGTGTATAATTCTGTGTATGTGTATTGTAAAAGAGAGAGGGCCAGGAAATAGCGGTGGCTAAATCAAGGCGGACGGTGGTGGCGCCGTCACTTTAACCTCCTGATTCAGATTTGGGGGCTTTAGAATTGGGAGGTAAGAAAATGTAAATAAAAACCCTAGCACGTCAGAAAGAAGTGAGGTGATACTGAGTTTATATACGTAACTGAAAGGTTTTGATTGGGCTTTTCTGGAATCGAATTAAAGTTTTTGGGCCTTTTTATCTTGATGGAAGTAGGGGTGGGCGCGGATCGATTCGGTTCGGTTCTCTTTAATGGAAGTAGGGGTGGGCGCGATTCTAAAGGGAATCGAATCGAATTGAACCAAAATTTTCGGGTATCTAGTAACTGGAACCGTCGGGTCCAAATATAATTATGGGACCGTTCGGGCTCGATTCCGTTAGGGTTCGGTTCCGTTCGGTTCAATTCGGTTCGGTTCCGTTCGATTCTGTGCTATAATTAAATTTTTTAACATTTATAACAACATTATATAAATACAACTAATGATATATTCAATGGTTTTGGAATGTCAGAGACTAATAGACTACCTTGTTCAAATGATCGGTACGGTCAAAGTTTCGATCGGCGGAGGTCACAGCTTCGATCAGAGATCATAGTGTCGGCCGACGATCGTATAGGTTTTAAAATATTAGCGAGGCTGCGAGAGTGAGTGTGAGAATCGAGACAACGTTATGTACTTTAGTGTATGTGTTTAGGGTTATTTAGTGGATTGGATCTTGTTGGACTAAGAAATGAAACAATAAAATGGGTAACTGGGCCAGAAATTAAAAAATTAGAAATGAAACAAAATTTATTGGGCCAAAAGTTTAGATTTAAAAATTGTTAATTTGTTAATTTGTTTAGAAAAAAATTAAAACTAAAATAATTTGATTTACTCAATATAAAAAAAAAATTGGAAAGATTCGGTTCTTATTCGGTTTTTCGGTTCTTGGTCTAGAACCGAGAACCGAACCGTACCCGTCAATTCTCAATTCAGATACTCGTTCGGGTATTTAATTTTGACAAGAACCGTCGAGTTCGGGTTCGGATTCGGTCGGTTCGATTCGGGAGATTTGCCCAGCCCTAGATGGAAGTGGACTGAATTGTTAGCCTTTGAATCAAGAAAACCTATTAATTTTAGCGAATAAGAAAAAATTCGTAATCCATTTGTAGTATTTACACCAATTCATAAATTAGATAGATAGTTTGAAAATTCAATATTTAGGTCTATATTTAATTAATTAAAAATATTTATTATAAAACTTATATTATGCTTTACCTAAGCTTATATTATGCTTTACACATAATTTTCAAATAATAAATAATATTAGATAATAGTATAATATTGTTAATTGAAATATTCGAAGATATTTAATTTTTTTATTAACTAAAATAAGATAAAAATAACTATAGTAATTTGTTTTATAACATAAAAAACTAATAATTAATATGTTCAAAAATAATTTACATTGTTTAAATTGATATTATTAGTGACTATAATCTTGTTGAAACTATGATTTTTAATGAAAATAATAAAATAAATTAGTAACAGTTAGAATTGACAATTGATTAATATCCCACATTGAAAGATTACTAAAATATTGGAAGAGGAATATCCTTTAAAAAGTTAATATCCCATACTGACAGATTACTAAAACATTCTGAGAGAGGTCTCCTTTAAAAAGGAACTAAAGGAGAATCATTTAAATAAAAAATTGATTTGAGCCTTTTAGTATAATAAGTGAGTCCATCAAGATAGTAAAAATATTTTTTAGGAAAAAAATCATATTATCCAAAAAAATGGTGAATTTTTTTTTTTCAAATTCGGATCAGATATTCAATAATATAGCAAATCGGATATGAATTTAACAATCAAATATCAGTCGGATTATCGGATCGGATCGAATTTAGGCAAATCCGCTTCATATCCGATCCATTTACAACCCTAACTGTGGTGGTAGAGTCTTGAGCGTCGAGCCACGATGCTGACTCTATCTCCGACAGCCATGTTTGATAAAGAGAAATAGAGGTATATAGAGAGAGAGAGAGAAAAAAAATAGAAATCGCCCTCAATACCACACCAAGAAATGTTCCAATGGTGACGTGCGTTGTGCAAGTGGTTCAAATTCGATGGTAAATTTGTTACGTCGGAGATAATCTTCCACAGGCGACACGATTACTGTTGAGAGAGAAGAAAGATTAGGGAGCAGAATAGAGTGAGACAAGAATGGGGGATATGATTAGGGTTTTTAATTGAATTTGGTAGATTAATTATATATAATACCTGATTTGTGAATAATAAAACTTGGTACCTAATTTTTGAATTTTGAAGTTTAAACCCCTAGTTTTGTTAAATTTTCACAAATATTAATCCCTTGCTTGGTAAAGATTTTTTTAGAATAGATTTACAAAGAATTTATAGTTAAAAGTATAGAAAATTTTAGATTTACGTGTAAAAATATTTAATTGAGAGATCGTGTGATTAAAAATGAATTTAAAAAAATAAAATTTAGAAAAAATTGAGACAAACAAGAACTAAATATTGGTAAATTAGTAATTTATTAATTTTAATTAATTAATATTTTATTAATCATTGAAGTATTCATTATTTTTTTAAATATTTGTGTATCGTTTGTAATTTCTCACTTTACAAACAAACAATGAAAGTGATAAGCTGTGCAATGATTCTTGCTGGAGAATGTGTAACAACGAGAGGGAAAACAGGTATCTCATTGATGGTGATGGTTAAAAAGGAGGCGAAATTAGTTGCTTTTGGTTTAAAAAATAATAAAAGAAGAAATAATAGTTATTTTTGGTTTAAAATGAAAATTGGGCAGTATTTTTAAGTTTATTAGCCAATTTGTGAAACTTCCCCTTCCCCAGCCACATCTTAAACTGCTGCACAAACTTATGGGCCAGACTTTTGAACTATTACCACGCTTATACCATATGGGCCTCGTTTCCATGTCCCTATAAATCTTGGGCTTGGACTGCTTCACTGGACCAGCCCAATAAGTTTGAGCTCTTATTGGTATTTGATCGAGTGGGTTTTTTACTATCCTCAACTGTCGAGATGTGAATATTCAGAATCGTATGCGTCTGCACTGAGGTTCTTTTGTGGCTGATTTAGAGTTTTGAGTGACAATAATTGTCCTTGTTTGATCCTCATTTTTTGGAGAAAATGAATTTTTCAACAGTGTTTTGACGTAATTTTAACTACACATTCTTCAATAAAATAATATTACACCTAAATCCAAAACTTTTTTCTTATTTTTTAACCACATATTTCACAACAATACACTATTCAAAAATTCATTTTTCCTATCAAAATGGGGCTCGAACAAGGGCATTATTTCAACACGTAACACAACCCACTACCCAAAAGGCTATACAACCAAATGCAAGTGAGTTTTTAAACAATGTCTGAGAAAACCCTCAACGTTTATGATGATAATTACCCATCGCTGGATGAAAATCAAAAGTTAGAGACGATGAGTTGTGGCATTTTGATTAGGGATGGCAAAAAATTCACCAAACCCAATAATCGTGGGTTAAGGGCGGGGATTGTTAAGATTTGAGATCCATCTTAATAAGGTCAACCTTATTAAGATGAGTGACCCAAGATCTATTTAAATTGATCAATATTTCGGTATTTAACCGATGTGGAATTTATTCCCTTAACATGCCCCCACAAAATGGTGGCTCTTTTTTAGCAGACCAATCTTGAAATCCGTGTGTTCATTTTTTAGACTTAATCGGATCGAATAACTCGTTGGAGTTTACTAAACTCTGATACCATGTTATGATTTGGGGTCCATCTTAATAAGGTCAACCTTATTAAGAGGGGTGGTCCAAGATCTATTAAAATTGGTCAATATTTCGATATTTAACCGATGCGGGATTTATTCCCTTAACATGGATTACCCTCTTAATCGGTGTGTTCCCCGCTATGAGGCGGGTACAGGTAACCCGCCCCGTTAATTTTTTATTTTTTTTTTAAATAATTTAATACTTTAAATGCAAAACTCCACGAAGTTTCATTAATTCTAATAGAAGATGATAACTAAAATTATTTAAGGAGTGTGATAAATAATAAAAACCTTAATTTACCAAATATATTCGAATAATTTAACTTTTGAAAATTAATTAATTAAAAAATTTAATAACTATATTATTATTTCACTTTAATGAATGGAGGCAAAAAAATATGGGTACATAAACGAGTAATATTCCTGCCTCGCCCCACCTTAAACGAGTAACGGATTGGGTACGAGGCAGAAAAATGCCCCCCGCCCAACCCCGAACATGTACCATTGTCCTCCCTACTTTGGACGAGATATTTGAAAGGGAAAATTGACCATTCGGGACTGTGAAATACAAATGTTGAATCAATTCTCCAACTGACATCCGACTCCGTTACGTTAAGGTTATTGCAATGAATAATAATGTATGAGCTTTTTGGGAGTAAAGGAAGGCACGTAGGATAAACATGCATGGTTCATGATGCCCATTTTACTATGGGACTTGATCATTGGTTAATAATAGGTGTGACAACTCGACTAATAGCAAAGGCCCACATTAAATCGAACTTAGGGTCGAGTCAGATTAAGATTATAATTTAGATGGTGCATTATAAATTATCTAAAGACCTTATACAATACAAGCCTTCCTATTTTATAATTCTTTTGTTATGCTTCTGAAGAAACTGACAAAAGTAATAATAGTAGAAAAAGTAATAATATGTTCGTTTGCTTTTATTCTTTCTAAATAAGACAGTTGAATGTCGATTAGAAGTTAACAAAGCCTCAACACGAGTCGATCCACACTGACCACAGACCTAGAACTCAGCCCCATCACAACTTGTTTTTCAACTTATCCAAACATCTCAAACATGGAATTAGAATTGTATAATGTGGAAATTACAGCCAATAAGAACTTTTAAGATTAAACTTCAAAAATCAGATTTATGGTATTTTTATACAAAAATCAGATGATAATATATTATTGTTAATATTTATAACAATATTATAAAAATTAAATTATTTTATATATTCACCCACTACTGTTTACCTTCTCAAACCCTAATTAATTCTCTCTCACTCTCTCCATAATACCGTCACCTCCCTCCTCTCTTTCTCTCTCTTCCCT